ATAAAATGAGCGAGTTGGAGCATAATCTTTGATTTTATGTCAAAGGTCTATAGTAAAATGATAGAGTTGACAACTCAATATCTACTGAACCAAAATTAATGAAATTGATATTATATGCTAATTAGAGTGTCTACATATCATGGTATTAATTTCAGTGAAAATGGAGTTGTTTCTATATCTTTCAGATTTCCAGCCATTCTCTTGAAATATCACCATGTACTATCTACTGAATGCATTTGTTGAAATGAAATTATATAATTTGATGAAATTACACTTTATTTGAGATGTAGAACACGATATTATCATTTATTTTGAGATTGGTAACTTTTCCTATAGTGTCATCCTTAATTGTCTTAATTGACTAAAAAAGGTCAAGGAGATATTTCAAAATATAAAATAAATTATATTTTCGAGATGTACTATTGATTTCCAATCGATTGATATGTATTTTGTTGATTGACGAAGTGGTTCTCTATTTGAAGATTTCCTCCTTGATCTTTAAAGACAACCTTGAAATTTCACCCTTTACCTTACTGAAAGATAGAATATTCTCCAAAATGTCTGAAAATTGAACCATATACATTATTTGAGATGTTGAACATGGTGGTAAAGTTGCATAGAGTGGTCATTTTCCAGATTTTCATCCATGTCCACAGTTGACTAATTGGTATGATAGAGTTGAAATCATGAACATGAAAGTGAAAATAAACTTGATTTTCTATCTCTACTCGTAGAGTGAAGCATTTTCATGTATATATTGTTGGTTGAAGTGATGTATTTGATAGAGTTAGTGTGACTTGTCTTTCCTTAAAGTCAACCATAAAATATCAACATTTACCTTCCCATTATACCATTTCTGATTATTAAGACATGAAATTGAATTCTATATCATTATATATCATGTACATCATTTTGGTAAAGTTTTAATAGGTGGTTTGGGTTTGGGTTTGGGTTTGGGTTTGGGTTTGGGTTTGGGTTTGGGTTTGGGTTTGGGTTTGGGTTTGGGTTTGGGTTTGGGTTTGGGTTTGGGTTTGGGTTTGGGTTTGGGTTTGGGTTTGGGTTTGGGTTTGGGTTTGGGTTTGGGTTTGGGTTTGGGTTTGGGTTTGGGTTTGGGTTTGGGTTTGGGTTTGGGTTTGGGTTTGGGTTTGGGTTGGGTTTGGGTTTGGGTTTGGGTTTGGGTTTGGGTTTGGGTTTGGGTTTGGGTTTGGGTTTGGGTTTGGGTTTGGGTTAA